CAACATGGGTCGCGCCTCCAGGTCCGTGGAAAGACAAAGGCAATGCAAACATCTAGCGCAACCCTGACCAATCTCTTGCCAGGAATGCCAAGCTCCCGATTTTAAAAACTTAGCCATCGGCCCTATGGGCGGGCGATCAAACCTCTGGGAAGGAAACGTCGCCAGCACGGTGCCAGCCACTCTCGCCGCGACGGCGAGCAAATCACATTTCCTGTCCACCTCCGTTCTTTCATGCACACTGGGTTGAGGATGGAGGAGGAGAGCTTGCTTGGCCAAGGCGTCAGCTTTCAAGTTGCCTATGCCGATCCGTCTCTCTCGTGCGGGCAGGGCGTCCAAAACAGCGCGAGAGCGGTGCGCAGGAGTGTGGTACACCGACGGGGTAGGGGATTCTTCATGTAGAAGGGCACCTCTCCGAAGGCCAGCATCACGATGTTTGTGAAATACCTGGTACTCACGCGTAGCCACACATATGCGCACCACATTCATGCAATCGGTGTGGCGCTCGCCGCCGTTGCTCTGAAACATCGGGAGCAAGGCCGTGCACAGGTGCTCCGCAGCTTGGGATGTCTGCGGGAGAACTGAAAGCACCGTGCCTTTGGCATACGCAATGTTAGTGTCCCCTTCGACCAGGAAGACCCTAGAGAACGCCGCCCTGGAAAGCTCCCTGACGGTGTGACGAAAAGCCGAGCCTTCCATGACGACATCGCAACCAGAAAGATCCACATACCCCCAATCAATGATGTCCCCTTCGGGCGAGTACAGGATGGGCTGGGTGGAGGAAGACAGAGGGGGGTAGTAGGCCTCGGGGTGCCCCCATTTCAACTCGTCGAAAAACAAACGGTCCTGACTTTCAAGAGCCTCGTCCAGCCATTCGACGGGAGCTTCGTCCGTGACACTTTTCCGAGCCGCCACGGCCTCGGGATGAAGGCGCTGCCAAACACGGTGCCCAACATTATCGGGCATCCCGCACTTCGGGCATCGCCCGTCGCGCGCGTATCCCGCAGCCTGCGCCCTCGAGCGAGTCCACACCCCTTCGCAGAAAACGCTCAAGGCCAGGTACCTTTTCTGAGGGTTGAGTTTCCTCCCCTTGGGGCCCAACAAGGTTTTGAGGGGATCAACGCAAAACGAACACCGTCGGACCCAGGGGTGTCTTGACATAAAACTCGCTCGTGCTTGCGCTGGACCGCCAGCTGCAACATCTGAGCCAGCATCGCTGGCGAGTAGCCCAGATGCACCTCGCGACCGTAGTCGTCTTCAGACGTGAGGGGGGTCACCGACTGCCGCCCGATCCTAGCCAAAGACAGGTGCATGCGCTGAAGCGGCCCTCGTGATGATCGCCACGTGACCTTGTCATCAAAGGGAACAGCGCGCCAAAGCTGGGCAATCTCTTTGACATTATACCGAGAAGTCGAGGGGGAAGTGAGGGCAAGCCAAACCACCGAGGCCCACTGTGAGGCCGGCGCGACAGAAGGTCTCCACATGGGGTCCCCAAGGATAACCAAACGCGCCTGGAGCGAGCAACCGCGGTGCCTAGAGGGGTGCGAGGACAAGAGGACCCGTTGAGCCGCTTGGAGCTCACCTTGACTCATCCCCACCGCCGATCCGAAACTGGCCGCAGGTAAAACTCCACAAGTATAGATTTTTCCCATTCTCCCTTTTTGACGGGGGAGGGCAGAAAGGTATCTCATCAAAACTTTGTGTCTCTTCTTCATGTGGGAGAACCGTTGTTTTCCTTCCAGAGACCCTGTTTGGTACAGCGTGACTGACCTGGTACAAGATCCGCGCCGAGAGAGACCACGCTGTTCGTGACCTTCCCAGCCAGCTGCCCTAGATGGCGAGCAATCTGTTGGGCGAAGGCGCGGCTGCCGGCAAAGGTGCTGACCTTGTCGGGCTGAATGCCGGCGCGCAGCTCGTCCTCAAACAGGACGTAAAAGCATGCAGCGGCCTGAGTGATGTTGGCCAGGACCTCTTGTTCCGATGCCGACGTTGTAACGCTATCATCGTCCACGTGCGACGACAGCTCGACACTGGGATTATCTTCAACAGACTTGTCAAACGCTTCGATGCTGTAAACTCTAACCATGATATCGTTGAAGATATCTCCCGCGGGAAGGCCAGAACGGGCGAAAAAAGGCTGGGCCCCGTACTGGGCCCCCAAACGGAACAAACGAGGCCCCCTCCAGTAGTTAAACGTCGTTTTAACAATCACCCCGTTGATGCCATGACGTATCGCCCTGTCCTTAAGGAGGGCTAAATCGAAACACTCATAGTACTTAGTCCCGTCCCAACTGATACCCCCCGTTTCATGAGCTTCGTAATGGGCCACCTCGGCCTGAACGGCCTGATGCCACGCAGCATTCTCAGCGCTACGACCAGGACCGAACGCCCAGCATCTTCGAGGGTAGTTAGTGTTGAAATCTAGAATCAGAGGCCTCCGAAAACGCTCTCAGACACGAGCGGGGCCAGCGCAAAGCAAAATCGGGCGGAGGCCTCCCTTGTTTTTTTCCAACAGCGGGAAGAGGAGCCAGAACAGCTGTTTCGGAAAAAGGCCCAGGGACTCGATCGCTTGGATAATCGCCCCGAACGTGTCAAGAGCATCACCCGATGCCAAAGCGAGCTGTCTCGGGTGCAGTCCGTCCAGGGACTGCGACGTCAGGTGCGAATAGCTGCTGGGCGCACCCCTGATCTCAGCCGCCGTCGGCCTAGGAAGGTGAGCCCGATCAGGGGCGCGCACCTCAGGAGGAATGTGAGACGCATGCCAAAAGTCAGACAGAGATTTACCTTCCGCTTTGAGCAGCTCTTGGGGGGAATTGGAGAAACATCCAGGGTGATTTTGCACGACGGTCGGGGTCCACTTCTGCTTAAGCTTCGTGAGCCTAAGCATGGCCCGCGCACCCCCCAAGAGTGCCTTCTCCTGCCATTGATCCCAGCTGTCCTGCTGGACCTTCGCGACGGCCTTGCGCGCCTCGCTCAGGTTGTCGTCCCACCGCGACAGAAACTCCTGACGCTGCTCAATCCAGCCGTCGAGGCCAGCGTCGAGCGCAAAAGGCGCGAGCGAAGCTGAGCGCCTGAGCAAGGGTCGCGTCGAGCCGAACGTTCTGCCCCTCACCAGGGCACGGTAACATGAGAAGCTGCTGGATCTGGTGGCTCGTGTCCTCAGAAAGCTGCTGAAACTGAGCGTGGTCCAGAACATCGGGATCCTGGGACGCCCTGCGAAAACGAACCGAAGCACCAATGGTCTCCGACAAATGTTGGGCCAACCAGATCCACCCGCAGTGCTGCTCTCGGAGGCTATTAGCCTTGGGTTTCGCAGACATCGGAACCCAGCGAGGTCTCAGGAGGTCCCCTTTGTGTCCCTTGCTTTTAACCTCGACCCCCGTGAAAGACTCGAGCTCGAGCTCGAGCTGATTGGCAAAATATTTCCAGGCAGCAGTGAGAAGCTCCCACGCCTCGCCGATGGGGCGAGCGAGGGCCGCAGCGGCAGCGTCCTCAGCTATGATGCGGCTGAGGGTCCAGTCCTGGGGTCTAGGAGTCGGCCCGAACGGAAGCTCTGTCGGGAGCCTCTGATGCGACCGATGCATCAGCTGATGGCACCGACCAGCGTCGCAACGAAGCGTGAGGCACACGGGCCTGTGGGGGCGATGGGTCCAGGACATGTCGGCCTCAACCTTATCACAGGCACGTGCGAAGCACGTGCTAGCGAAAAAGTAATCAATCGTCCTGGGGAAAGACACGTCTTCGGCGCTGGCACAAAGAAAGCACCTTCAACCCTGCGAGCCAGCCCCGTCGAATCCACCAGGTGGGGGTCAAGATCCCAGTCTCCCCCCGCAACGTACATATGTTTCCCAATAAGCCTCTCTCCCATCTGCCACAGGAGGGAAAGGTTACACGCACAAAGACCAGTCCCTGACTTAAGGTAGCACGAAAGCACGTGGAGAGGCGGCCATCCAGGCAGATCAACAATCAGGTGGATGATACGCCCCTGGGCCACGATCCCTGGCACTTCCGACGGCCACCGTAGGCCAATGTGCGTGCGAACGAACACCCCCACCCCCGTTCGAGGCCTGCCAGCCTCACCAGCGGGGGAGGAGGAGGATTTTTTTTGAACACGTACCATTGCTGGCGAGCGGCAGCTAACACCAGCCTGCCGAGAGTCATCTCGAGCAGAGAGCCGCACGCGGGGCCCTGGGCGGCGCATTGGCCGCCCAAGGACCCCACGGCGCGAAACGCAAGCCGCGGCAGTCGGGCTGCTGAGGACCTCCAGCGGTGCGCTCAGCAAACCCGACCGCCGCGGCAACACGACACGACGCGACACGACAGGGGGACGAAACGAACGACGCGTCACGAAAGACACGACACGGACGAACGACACGACAGAGACGAGCCGCCGGTCCCGCCCCAGGGCGGCGAGCGCTGGGGGGAACCAGCACCGCCCTGGGGGAGGCCACGGGACCTGGCGACCCCCCCGGGGGAAGGAAACCGCACTTTGGCGGCGTCCCCCGGAGAGCGGGGGCTTTTCGCCCCTCGGGCCCGGCGCTCCCCGCCTGCGCCAGGAGGACCCTAGGGTCCCGACCCCTCCCCTACGGGGGGGGGGGAGAGAGGAGGAGGAGGAGGAGGAGGAGGAGGAGGAGGAGGAGGAGGAGGAGGAGGAGGAGGAGGAGGAGGAGGAGGAGGAGGAGGAGGAGGAGGAGGAGGAGGAGGAGGAGGAGGAGGACGGAGGAGGAGGAGGAGGAGGAGGAGGAGGAGGTAGGAGGAGGAGGAGGAGGAGGAGGAGGAGGAGGAGGAGGAGGAGGAGGAGGAGGAGGAGGAGGGAGGAGGGAGGAGGGGAGGAGGGAGGAGGAGAGGAGGATGAGGAGGAGGCGGGAGGAGGAGGCAGGAGGAGGAGGAGGAGGAGGAGGAGAGGAGGAGGAGGAGGAGGAGGAGGAGGAGGAGGCGGCGGCGAACAGGACGGCGAAGGCGGAGCGGAGACGGGCGAAGCTCTCCTCTTCCCCGCCCCGCAGGGGAGCCGGCCGCTCTCCGCCGCCGCGCCGCTCCTGGGCGACATGGGGCCCAGGAGCCCGGTGGGAGCACCGGCCAGCCCGCGGCGCTGCGGCGCCGGTCGCGTCGGCGGCTGCCGCAGTGCCAGCCCTGGCGCCGGCTGCGCTGGCCGCTGGGGGACAACGCTTGCACACCCAGATCTCAGACAGTATGCCCCCCCAAGCAGTGCTTGCACTCAGGGGGTCTCGCTGATGGTCTAAGGGAACTGGGCCCGTCTGGCGGTCCGGCGGCTATGTTGTCGCCGCCGCCTCCCCGTCGCCGCCTCGTCGCCGCCTCTCGTCTGGGCTGGATGCCGTGCAATTCACGAGGGATCGTGGCCCTGGGAGCGCGGACGCCGTATGATTCCTCTCGCTTCGCGGGGTACACGTCCGGAGCACGTGCAGTCACGTCGTCGCGGGGCCTCTTGGGAGCCTTTTGGGGGTTTCCTGGAGGCCTCCTCCTGGGAGTTTCTTTTGGCCTTTTGGGGGTTTCTTTGGGGGCTTTCCCCCCTCCCTCCTTTTCATACACCCTCCCCATCTTCCCTTCCATCGCCGGCTCCAATCATGGGCGCCGCAGTGACCAACTTCCACGCGGCTGGCGCTGCGCCGCAGTTCGCCCAAAGGGGGGGAAATTACATTACACACCAGTCGGTGTGTGGCCTTTGGGGGGCTTGTTGGAGGCCTTTTGGAGGCTTCTGGGGGACTTCTTGGAGGCTTGTTGGGGGCCTCTTGGGGCTTCTTGGGGGCGTCTTGGGCCGTCTTGGGGCGCTTTTGCGCCGTTTCGCCCCCTCGGAGGCTGTCTTGGGGGCCTCTCGCGGCCGCATTGGAGCCCTCTTGTGGTCCTCTTGGGCCGTCTTCGCTGCCTCTTGGACCGTCTTGGGGGCCTCTTTGGGTTGTTTTGGGGCCCTCTTTGGCCGTCTTGGGGCCCTCTTGGGGATTTGTTGGGCTGTTCTGGGGCGATTCTGGAAGCTGCTTGGGCCGTCATGGATTATTGAAAGCCGAAAAAGACGAGAACGCTAAAATGTTGCAAGAACCATCGGACAATCAATGGTTTCGGCCTCTGGAGGCGCAGTTATGGGCGCTCTTGGGCCCTGCTGGGCCGTCCTTGGAGCTTTTGGGGCCCTCTTGGGGCCGTCTTGGGGGCCTCATGGGCCCCCGTTGGGAATATCTTGGGCCGTCTTGGGCCGTCTTAGGGCCATCTTGGGCCATCTTGAGGCCCTCTTGGAACCCCAAGAGGCCCAAGAGGCGGATTTTTTTTTCATTTTTGTAAGTTTTTAGGGTCCCAGAAGGGGGGAGATCATTTTGGTCCGGCGGTGCGGCGCAGCTCCCAGGGGGGGGTTAGGGGGGAGACGTAATAATGTAACACAATACGATATGTTGCAATTATGGAATCTTTGGATACATTGGATACGTTGCATTAAGGCGTTCGCCGAAAAACGCTGCCGCTCAGCACGTCACCTCCGGACGTGGATTCCCGAACTGCGACGTCTGCAAGGTAGCCCCGCGGCCGCGAAGCACGATGTACCTGGCGGCGAACAGGCCGTCGTGGACGTGCCCGGCGCGCCCGCGGGTCGGTCAGTGCGCGGTCTGTGGCGCCCCTTCACCAGACGCGGCCAAAATTGGTCGGCGTTCTCTGAACTGGGAAGGGCCGAGGTACACGTGCGACGCGTGCTTCTGGCCGCCATGCAGCGCGTGCAAGAAAACGCCGCGGCCGCACGACCGCTGGTGGACAGTTCGCGCTGCCCCGGACTGGAAGTGCGCAGATTGCGCGAAGACGCGCGAGCGAGGGAAGAGGTGCGCGTAGTCTAAAGATATCGCTCCACCTGCCACCTGCCGCTATCATCAGGGACGTCGTCGTCATCGTGTCTAATTGCGGGAAGAGGCCCGCCTGCGCCCCCGTCGCATGTGTCATCCTCTCGGTGGCAATTTTGGAGGCAGTTTGGGCCGCCATGCCTCCCTTTTGGGGACTTCTTGAGGCCCCTTGGGGGCTTATTTGGGGCATCTTGGGGCCTCTTGGGGGCGTCCTGGCCCGTCTTGGGGCGCTCTTCCGCCGTTTCGCCCCTTCGGAGACCGTCTTGGGGGCCTCCCACGGCCGCCTTGGGGCATTCTTGGGATGTTTTTTGGCCGTCCCAGGGGCCTCTTGGACCGTCTTGGGGGTTTCTTTGGGCCGTGCTGGGGCCCTCTCGGGCCGTCTTGGGGCCCTTTGGAAGGCTTCTTGGGGCTTCTTGGGGTGCTTTTGGAGGGTGCTTGGGCCGTCATTGGCTTGTCAGCGTCGAAAAAGGCGAGAACGCGAAAATATTCCCAAAACCATTGGAAATTTTATGATTTTGGCTTCTGGAGGCGCTCTTGGGGGGTCCTCTTTGGGCCCTCTTGCGGCGTCTTGTGAGCTTTTGGGCTCTCTTGGGGCCATTTTGGGTCGTCTTGAGGCCGTTTTGAGGCTCTCTTCGGCCGCCTTGAAGCCATCTTGAGCCGTCTTGACGCCCCTTGTGGGCTCCGAGGAGGGCCCAGAGGCCGAAATCAATGATTTCCATCGGTTTTTGTAGGTTGTTGAATTAGTGCACGAAAGGGGTCGGCGACTCGGCGGCGGCCCTGGGGGGGATTAAGGGGGGAGACGTAATAATGTAACACAATACAATATGTGGCAATTATGCAATCATTGGAAACATTGGATACGTTGCATGAGGGCTTCCGCTCCGCTGCGCGACCTGCCTCCGGCAACACGTCACTTCCGGACGTGGATTCTTAGGCTTGCGCCTCACCGCCGACCCCTTGTTTATGCCAATCTGGGGGTAGTAGAAGCTGCGAAGGGGTGAAAAACGAGTTTTGGAGCCACTTGGGGGCCGGTTCGGAGCCTCTGGGGTGCTTCTTGGGGGTTCCTTGGGGCGTCTGGGTCGTGAGGGCCTCTGGGGGCCTCTTGGGGCACTCTTGGGGCCCCCTGGGGCTCCTGGGGGCAGAAAGCTAGAGTTTCAACATGTTTGGTCGCCCTCTTGGGCCCCTCTTGGTTCCGTCTTGGAGCCCTTTTGGGCCGTCTTGGGGACCTCTTGGGCCGTGTTGGGGCCGTCTTGGGCCGTCTGGAGGCCGTCTTGGGGGCCTCTTGGGCCATCTTGGGGCTTTCTTGGGGGCCTCTTTGGCCGTCTTGGAGCGTCGGGGAGCCGAAAAGGCGGAGAAGCAAACAACATCGAAAAACACTATGGAAAATCAACAATTTTAGACTCTTGGGGTCCTCTTGGGAGGCTTGTTTGGGACCTCGGGGGCCGTCTTGGAGACCTCTTGGCCCGTCTTGGGGCCATCTTGGGCGTCTTGGAGCGGTCGTTTGGCGTCTCGGGGCCTTCGTGGGCCGTCTTGGAGGCCTCTTGGGGGCTTCTTGGCCCGTCTTGAGGCCCTCTTGGGCCCGGAAAAGCCCCGTGAACCGCTCGTCCCGGCCGTGCTGCGCTCGTGCCGGACCCCCCCCCCCCTCCAAATCGACCGGACCGGGCTCCCGGGGGAGGGGTTTGGGGAGGGGGAAGCATCTCACGCGCCGATGATCCCCAAGGGGTCGGCGGATTTACGAGTGATGGTGTCGCTGGAAGCGTGAACGCGTGGTGATTTGTGAGGGATCGTTGCCCAGGGAGCGCGTGCGCAGCGTGATTGACGATGGATCGTGGCCCTGGGAGTGCCGGCGCCGTGCAATACCGTGGGAGCGCGGACACACTGCAATTTACGATTGATCGTGGCCCCAGGAGCGTGACCCCAGCAATTTACGAAGGAACAGGGCCCTGGGAGCGCGAATCCAGCATTATTTTGAAAAGGATCGTTGCCTTAGCGCGATTTGAGAAGGATTGCGGCCTTGGGAGCGCGGGCGCCGTGCAATCTGCGAGGATTCGCTGCCTCGGGTCCAGAGCAGGATCTTGCGGGAAACGACGGGGGGGCCGAGGAGCACCCGTTCCGAATTCGGATCCCGATGTAGAAAAGTATAGCTTTCTGCCGTGGGGAGGGGTTCTCTTGTGGGCAACTTGCGCGGAGTGCTTCGTGGCCCTGGGAGCGCGGACGCAGCGTAATTTACGAGGGAGCTTAAACCTGGGAACACGGACGCAGCGCAATTCACGAGGGATCGTGGCCCTGGCAGCGCGGACGCGGCGCAATTCAAATGGGAGCGCGGAAGCAGGTAATTTAAAAGGGAACGTGGCCCTGGGAGTGTGAATCCGGTGTATTTTGCGAGGGATGTGGCGCTTGGAGCGCGGACGCAGCGCAATTTACGAGGGATCGTGGTCCTGGGAGCGTGCCCCCTGAGTAGTTTACCAAGTGACGCAGCCCTGGGAGCGCAAATCCAGTGTTATTCACAGTGGATTTTAGCCCTGAGAGCGCGGATGCAGCGGCATTGGGATCGTGACCCTCTGGCGCATTCCCTGACACGATCCCTGGAGTCTCCCCTGGGCACGTCGCGCGGCGCGTCCCCTGGCACGTTCTCTGGCACGTCCCCTGGCACGTCACCTGGCGCGTTCCGTGGCGCGTCCCCCTGGCACGTTCCGTGGCGCGTCCCGTGGCGCGTCCCCCTGGCGCATCGCGCGGCGCGTCTCCTGGCACGCCCCCTGGCACGTCCCCTGGCACGCTCCGTGGCGCGTCCCCTTGGCACGTTCCGTTGCGCGTCCCGTGGCGCGTCCCCTGGCACGTCGCGCGGCGCGTCCCGTAGCACGTCCCCTGGCACGTCTGCTGGCACGTTCCATGCTTCCTTGCACGTTCCCTGGCACGTTCGCTGGCACGTTCCGTGGCGCCTCCCCCTGGCACGTTCCGTGGCGCGTCCCTTGGCATGTCACCTTGCGGCGCGGCACAGAGCAGAGAAGCACAACACAGCCCCATAGCACAGTAGCATCACCATTGATATCTTCAGCATTGCCACTGCCCACCGCCCAATCGATGTGCTTGGATCGTTCCCAGGCCTCGCAGTTGAAAATTCCTTTCCGGGTTCGTGTGTCGATTATGTTTTCTGTAATGCTTGTTGAGCACTTGCGCAACACTCATTGTGCTTACATCTAGTTGTGGGGTCCACTCTCGTGCCCGAGGACCGTCAAAAAGGACCCAGAACCACAAATTCTAGACGCTTCGCGTATCCCCACCAGCCCGTCCAGAAATGAGTCCCAGGGGAGTGGAGGTTATGAGGGAAGCGGGGGAGCATGCAGAAGAACAAAGGGCGGGGTGAGCCGCCATATACCCCAAGAGGGGGAGGATGTAGGAGGAGCCGTCGTCGTCGGAGTAGGAGGAGGAAGAGGAGGAGCAGGAGGAGGAGCAGGAGGAGGAGGAGGAGGAATAGAAGGAGGAGGAGATGGAGGACTGCGAGGACGAGGAGGACGAGAAGGAGGAAAAGGAGAAGGAGGAGGAGGAGGAGGAGGAGGAGGAGGAGGAGGAGGGGGAGGGGGAGGAGGGAGGAGGAAGAAAAGGAGGAGGAGGAGGAGGAGGAGGACAATTGCGAACTTGGGGGCCTCTTGGGCCGTCCTTGGGGCCTCTTGGCGGTCCCGGGGGCCTCTTGCGTATCTCGGGGAGCCTCTTGTGGCCTCTTGGGGGTCTCTTGGGGGCCTCTTGGAGGCCTCTTGGGGCCTCTTGGGGCCTCTTGGGGCGCTCTTGGGAGCCTTCGAGGCGCTCTTGGGGCCATCTTGGAGGAGATCTATCAAAGAAGGGGGGGTCCCCAATTAGCGCTGCCCCTCTAGAGTGCCTCGAGTCGCCTCTTGGGCCCCCCCAAGAGGCCAAAATCCTTCCAAAACCTAGGTAAAATCAATGTTTTTTGTTTTCTCGCCTTTTCGCTCTTGGACCCGTCTTGGGAGCCTCTTGGGCCTCTTGGGGGTCTCTTGGGAGCCTTTTGGAGGCCTCTTGGGCGCCTCTTGGGGCCTCTTGGGGCGCTCTCGGGGCGCTCTTGGGGCGCTCTTGGGAGCCTTCGGGGCGCTCTTGGGGCCATCTTGCAGGAGATCGATCAGAGAAGAGGGGGTCCCCAATTAGCGTTGCCCCTCTAGAGTGCCTCGAGTCGCCTCTTGGGCCCCCCAAGAGGCCAAAATCCTTCCAAAACCTAGATAAAATCAATGTTTTCTGTTTTCTCGCCTTTTCGCTCTTGGAGCCGTCTTGGGCCATCTTGGACTCTCTTGGGGCCTCTTGGGGGTCTCTTGGCAGCCTCTTGGAGGCTTCTTGGGGGCCTCTTGGGGTCTCTTGGGGCCCTCTTGAGGCGCTCTTGGGGCGCTCTTGGGAGCCTTCGGGGCGCTCTTTGGGCCATCTTGGAGGAGATCTATCAAAGAAGGGGGGGTTGCTTATTAGCCCCGCCCCTCCAGAGTGCCTCGAGTCGCCTCTTGGGCCCCCCCAAGATGCCAAAATCCTTCCAAAACCTAGGTAAAATCAATGTTTTGTGTTTTCTCGCCTGTTCGCTCTTGGAGCTGTCTTGGGCCATCTTGGACGCTCTGACACCTCGCGACCGGCCCCGTCCAGGTCAGTGGGGAGGGGTAAGGGGAGGGGTAAACCCCTCCCCGAAGGGGAAGAAGGGGGTTGGCAGAGGAAACTCCCTAGACCACCTACGCCCTAAAGGGCTGGTGGGACTCCCCCTTGAGAAGGTGTCAGGACCTCGGGGGCCGCGCATGGAAACTCCCAGATCGTGGGATGTCTGGGCACACGAGCGCCGGTCTTGCCCAGGCCAGTCCCAAATGCGCAGGACCGGGACATCCTCGGCCACGAGGGAACAGGGACGACGGGCATCTCTCGCGCCTCTCTGGGCCTCCAGAGGCGAGCGTCGGCCACCGGGATAATTAGGAGACGGCTCAGGACAAGAGGGCGGCGCCTGGGTCAAAGGGCCACGGGGTCGCCCGGGGCCCCGGTCCCAGAGAAGAGCCGAGCCGCCGGACCCAGATTTTGCGATGTCTTGGCGTTCTTCACGATGTGGCGCCCGCGAGGTGTGGGCCACCTCCCCAGGGCCAGTTTTGTGTCCCGAGCTGTCTTTTGCTGGTCCTGGGGCTCGGCGAGAGCACCTCCTGAGGGCCGCACACGGCCCCAAACCCTCTCCGTCGTGTTCTCGTGGCGAGAGGAGGTCTGGGCATGTTTGGGGATGGCCCTGGCCAAGACTCGGTGCGTGCGTGCGGTCGGCGCCCTCCCCAGGGTCGGCGCTGGCTGCGCCAGCCGTCGGGGGGCGCCTGCTGTGCACTCGCACCAGTCGGGGGATTTCGTTGGACGTTTTCGTTTTTTGTCTTCGTTCTGCAGCACACGCGGAACGAGGACAGATCAAGGGAAAACGAAAGCAAGACGAAAACACGAAAAGCACGGGTCGAGCGCTGTTCCCTCGTTTTGTGTCCGTTTTGCCAGCAAGCGCGGAACGAAGACCACTAGAGGGCAATCGAACGCAAAACGGAAACGAAAAGCACTGCTCAGGTTGAGCCCTGGCCCCTCGTTTTGTGTTCGTTTTGCCAGCAAGCGCGGAGCGAAGACCACTCGAGGGCAAACGAAAGCAAAACGGAAACGAAAAGCACTGCTCAGGTTGAGCCCTGGTCCCTGGTCCCTGGCCAGGGCTCGGTGGCGGGCGTGCAGCCGGTGTCCTCCGCAGGCCGCGCTGGCTGCTCGGCGACCCCGTCTCCACCGAAG